GAAGGCGGGACTGAGGATGGGGAGGCTAGTGACCTTAGGACTGGTATGGTGAGGGAGGAGAGAGGAGGGGGTGAGAGGAGAGGGGGGGAGAGGAGAAGAGAGGAGAGAGGAGGGGCGGAGAGAGGAGAGGCGGAGAGAGGAGGGGCGGAGAGAGGAGGGGCGGAGAGAGGAGGGGTGGAAAGGGGGGTACTAGGATGGAGAGAGGGGTAGAGGCGGAAAGAGGGCAGCGAGGGGAGAGTGCGTTGGAACCAGGTAGAGGGGTTGGGTTAGGGAGCGGGGTAGGGGTGGAAAGTGGGGTATGGGCAGGGAGAGGGACAGGGATGGAAAGTGCAGAAGAAGTGATAAGGGTTTCAGAGGAAGGGAGAGTGGGGGCTGGGGAAGGGAGATGGGGAGGAGAGGAAATGCTAAGGGCTGACAGGCGGTGGGAGGGTTTAAGAGGTAACTGGGGAGAAGCTGGGTTGCTGTGGCGGAGGGGAGGGAGAGGAGGGGGAGGAAGGGGAGGAGTGGGAGGAGAAGAGCTGGAGGAGGAGGAGGGGGAGGAGGAGGAGGCTGTAGCAGGGTTCAGTCAGGAGGAGCGTTGTGTGTGGGTGGGTAGAGAGAGACCAGGAACAGTTGGTGGCGTTGGGGGGGTTGGAGGGTGTGAATTAGAGGAGGGGGGAAGAGGAGGAGGAGGGGAGGGGGGAGGAGCGGGAGGGGGAGGGGGAGGAGGGGGAGGAGGAGAGGGGGGGGGGAGAAGCACAAGCAGCTGGTGAGAGAGGGAATGGGTTCCCTCGGGCTCGGTCTCCCATACCAAAACAGTTCTCTCTCTGGAAATCCACAGGAAAGAACCGAGCCAAGCCAGGCGCAGGCTCGGCAGGAGGTCCGGGTCTAGGCCTGGAACTTGGTCTGGGAGTCGACTTGGACTCAGGTGCAGCAGAGTACCAACCAGAAAGGAGAAACATCCGGGAAGCTTCCACTCTGGATTTTCCTGCTGGTGCTACAGCTGCTACAGCCGCCAGGGGTGGGCTTGCGTCTGTGTCTGCTGCTGTGGCTGCCCGTGTTTCCTCCCCAACGTCTACTGTTGCTGCTGGGGTGTCTGTCTCCTCTCCTGCTTCCTCCCTCGCCTCTCAGCTGCCTTTTCTAGGCCGTGGGTCGTCACTGCATGGGATTGAGTGGGGGAGAGAGGTGAGGGATGGGAGGGACTGGAGAGGTGGGAGAGGAGGGAGGGAGGAGAGGGACGGGAGGGAAGTGCGAGGGGAGAGGGACGAGAGGGGCGAAAGGGGAGAGAGGGGAGATAGGGAGGAGGGGGAAGCAGAGGAGGAGTGGGTAGTGATGGAACAGAGGGAAGAGGAGGAAGGAGATGAGGGGAGGGAAGGAAGGGGCGAGCAACAGCAGCAGCCACGCCAACAGCAGGAGGGGGATGTGCAGAGGGATTTGAGATGCTCAGCTTGCAGCGACGTGAATTTCCACCGGTGCAGCAGCAGCAGCAGCAGCAGCATCAGCATCAGCATCAGCAGCAGCAACAGGCGCATCAAGGGGGGCTGGTAGGAGCTGAAGCAAGGTCAACAGGGGTGCAAGCAACCATTGCAACGCCTTCACGTCTTGAAGGGCATGCCCTGCCTGCCTCCCTGCCTCCACTGCCCCAAACCTCGCCTCGAGGCTTGGGCCGAAGCGAGGACAGGTTCGGTGCCGAACCTCGGCCTCTGGTTAGCACAGCAACAGGTCGGGATGTCTCTCCGCAGCTAGTCAGGATCGAAACCAGGGGAAGCCAGCTATACTCGGGTGCTTTTAAAGGGGGTGCTTTCAAAGGAGGTGCTTATAACGGGGATGCCTTCAAAGGAGCTGCTTTTAAGGGGGATGATTCTAAAGGAGGTGGTTTCAAAGGGGTGAGTTCGACCCCTGGTGGGCAGTGGTTCGCACGGTTGATCAAGCCTAAGGCTTCTGTAGGAGGGAATAGGATCATAGGAAAAGGGTTAGGAGAGAGAGGAAAAGCAGAAATTCCGGAATCACCTGGGATTTCTCGGTGTCAACCCCTCAAGGGCACTCCCAATTCTCTCGCCCTTCTGCAGTATCAGAAGCTCTCTTCCTCTTCAGCAAGGGCTGATAAAGCTGATAAGGCTGAGAGGGTTGAGAGGGCTGAGAGGGTTGAGAGGGTGGACAGAGCTGAGGGGGCGGACAGACAGGGAGCAGAAGCTCCAGAGCCCCGTGCTGTATCTCCCAGTCCCCTCTCCCTCCTTCAGTATCAGAGGCTCTCACCCTCGGTAGCAAGGGCTGTAGCAGGAGGGCCAGCTGTAGCAGTAATTATGTCAGGAGCAACAGTTGGGGGCCCTATGGCAGTGGGAGCAGCAGCTGCAGCGGCGGGGGTAGCTGCTTCTAGTGCTGCTGTGCTGGGATCGGCTGGAAACCCGAATCCTAACTTGAGGCCTGCTGCTATGCTAAGAGGAGCTGAAAACCTTAACCCTAATCTAGCCTTAAGACCTTGGTCAAACCGGATCCCTGACCTGGGCACCTTGCGAAACCCTAATCTGGCCGCTGGGCCTGACTTGGGCAAACAGGCAGTTAGTGCTGGTGTTGGTGCAAGTGCAGTGGCAGGTGGTGGTGGTGGTGGCGGCGGTGCTGCTGCTGCTGCTGCCGTTTCTGCTACTTTTGCTCTTTCTGCTGTGGGTGGTGGTGCTGTTGCGAGGGGATTTGTTGGGGTGAAAGCTTTCCCAGCTGTTTCCATACCTGATGCAGCAGGTTCGGCAATTCACGCACCTGCAGGCTCGGACTCCCTTGCTGCTGCAAGTAGGTGTGTGGAAGGGCCAGTGCCTGGCAATAATGGAGGGAGGAAGGTGCGTGGAAGGTGGCAGGGGGAGAGGGGAGGGGACATGGCGAGGGGTTGGGGGGGTGAGGGGGAGAGTGGGGAAGATAGAGAGGAGGAAAGGGGGGACGCACAGGGCGGGTATATTGCAATAGCAGTGAAGGATGAGGGGCAAAGGGAGGTGGAGGGAGAAGGTGGGGAGGCACAAGGGAGGTATATTGCATTAGAAGCAGAGAGAGGGACGCAGGTAGAGCAGCCGTTGAGGGCAAGGGAGAGGCTGGCAGGTGAAGCAGCAGGATTGTCGAATTTATTAACGGGAGCAAGAATAGGCCGAGGGCACATGTGGGAGAAGGGGGGATATGGGGCAGGATTGCATGAGGGGAGGCAGGAGGAGAGGCAGGAGGGGAGGCAGGAGGTGAGGCAGGAGGGGAGGCAGGAGGTGAGGAATGAGGAGCAGGAGCCGAGGCAGGAAGGAAGGCAGGATGGAGTTGTGGAGGGGATGGTGCATTGTATTGGAAGAACGGATTATCTGAGGTTTGAAGCGCAAGAGAAAGGGAAGGAGGGACAGCAGGAGGGACGACAGGAGAGAAGGCAGGAGAAAGGGAAGGAGGTATGGCAGGAGGGGAGGAAGGACGATAGACTGGCTGGCGTAGGCAGAATGGATTTTGTGCGGTATGGAGTGGTTGATGCTGCAGCGATGGGAACAGAACGGAGGTGTCTGGAAGAGTTGGGAGAGGGAGAAAGGATAGGCTTGAGAGGTGGAGTGGGCCAGTTATTACCAGATATACAGATGGGGCCAGAACGGGCAGAGCATGATGCGAGGGAAAGAGAGGGCGAGAGAGCGGGCGGCGGGGAGAGAAGAGAGCGAGAGTATGGGTTGGACCATGGAAGGGGAAAAGGGGCGCAGGAAAGGCGAGAAGGACCGACTGGGTGTGATGGGAAGGCGGAGGGGAGAGGGAAGAGGGCGAGAGAGGGGACTGAGTGGGACGAGGGTGTTGTTCCAAAGCATGAGAAGGAGGAGGGGAGGGGGAAGAGAAGGGGACACCGAGGGGAGAGAGACTGTGAGAGGCAGGAAAAGGACAGGGAGAGGAGGATAAGGGAGAAGGAGCGGGCGGGGATTGGAGGGTTGTTGCCAGACGAGCAATCTGCCAAGCTGGCGGCGCTGCGCAGGTGGCGGCAGGACGCTGCCAGGTGGCGCGAGGAGATTGGCTGGCAGGAGCGGAGCCTAGGGCTTGTCGGGAAGGGTGTGGGTGTGGGTGTGGGGCGGTTGAGTGGGGTGCGAAAGGGTGGAGAGGGTGGAGAAGGGACAAATGGAAGAGTGGGAGGAGAGGGTAGAGAGGGTCGTGAGGGAGGAGAGGTTAGAGAGGGTAGAGAAGGTAGAGAAGGTAGAGAGGGTGAAGCGGGAGGAGAGGAAAACGATGAGAGGAGAGGTGTAGAGGATGGAAGAGAAGGCGCAGGAGGAGGCTTGATTGCTGGAGCAGAAGAAGACTTCGCTACCGCCGATACTGGTGCTCGTGCCAGTGTCTGCTGGTGCTGGTGCTGGTGCTGGTGCTGCTACTGCCACTGGTGCTGTTACCGCTGCTACTGCCCTCCCCCCCACCGCCACCAGCACCAAATGCATGCTTCTTCCCATCCTAGAAATCGGCTACCTGGCCCTGGGTCGTTCCGTGATTGGCTGGAGCCCCCGCTGTGATTTTTGCGGTCTGCCCGGCCACACCCTGCTGACTTGCGTTGAAACGCTTGACTCTGAAACCTCGGCTCTGATTGGCCGGCTGGGTGCAAAGGGGGGGGTGGACAGGCGGGTAGAGGGGCGGAAGCGGAAGAGGGAGGAGGAAAAGGTTAGGAAGAGGGGTGGGAAGAGGAGGAGGGAGGGAGGGGGAGGCAAGGAAGAGGGGCGAGGGAGGAAAGAGGAGAAGGAGGAGAGAGTGGGTTTGGGTATTGTGAAGGAAGGGCAGGGGACACAGGCGAAGGAATAACTGCAACAGGTGGTATAGAATCCCTAGGAGGAGGGGCTATAGGGGGAAAGGACGGCACAGGTGGGGTTGGGGAGGGGTTGGGTGGAACAGAGGAGTTGGGAGTGGTTGCAAGTCTGGCTGGGATCGGGTCATATCTTCCCTACGGAACCCCTCGACCCTCTTCTGTTCCTCCTGCACTTGCAAAGGTGCTGGGCTTAAAACGAGGACTGGGTGTACTGAACAGTAACAGCGAAAGCGCTGGGCGTATGTCGAGCTGTGGGGGGAACAGTAATGCGCTTATGGGAGCACTTTTTAGTGGAGCAGGTGCGCCTGGAGCGGGTGTAGCTGGGGGAGGTGCGGCTGGGGGAGGTGCTACTGAGCTGGGGAACAGTGGTGTGCTTAGCAGGGCGTTTCTCAGTGGAGCAGGTGCAGCTGGGGGAGGTGGTACTGAGCGATCAGAGGGAATGGCAGGAGGACTTGGGGTCGGCTTTTTAGCCCCTCATGACTTGGTCGCTGGCACAATGGTGGTGGGAGAAGGAAGGCGAGGAGGGGGGAGAGAAGGAAATGTGAGGGAGGGAAAGGCAGTGGGAGGAGAGGATGAAGGGCTTACAAGGCAGATAGGTGAAGAGGACGTGGGCGTGGCACAGAGGGGTGGAGAGGGGTGTGAATGGGTCACTGGTAGGGGCACGCTGCGCACTGATACTGATGCTGCAACTGCTGGTGCTGGTGCTGGTGGGGAAGGTGATGATGGTGGTGTGTGCGCAAAGGATGGTGGGAAGGGTAGGGAGAAGAAGACGGGTATGGCTGGTGAGTGTGGGGTGAAGGGTGGGGAGAGAGAGCAGGAAGGGGAGAGAATCAGCGTAAGGGGATTGGAGGACGGGGAGGGAATCAAGGAGGGGTGCAGTGAGGAGGAGGAGATGGGGGATGGGAAGGAGGTGGAGGAGGAACGGGAAGGAGGCATGTGTGTGGGTGGGCGTAGGGAGGAGGAACGGGAAGTAGGCATGTGTGTGGGTGGGCGTAGGGAGGAGGAACGGGAAGGAGGCATGTGTGTGGGTGGGCGTAGGGAGGAGGAACGGGAAGGAGGCATGTGTGTGGGTGGGTGTAGGGAGGAGGAACGGGAAGGAGGCATGTGTGTGGGTGGGCGTATGGAGGAGGAGGGAGGAGAGGAGGGAGTGAAGGGTGGTGTGGAGCGAATGAAGGAGGAGGAAGGGGAGAAGGGAGGGGAGGAGGGAGGGGATGGGGGCAGGACTGACAACAGGGAAGCAGGGGTGGATGCTGGGGAGGAAGGAGACGGGGGAGAGGGAGCAGGGGGTTCTGAGGGGGACAAAGAAGGAGAAGAGGATGAGGACAAGGAGGATGAGGAGGATGAGGATATGGAGACAGAACAAGACAAAGACATGCCGACCCCCGTGTGCCTGTGGTGTCTGTCGGAAGGTCATTGGGCGGCTGAGTGTGCTGACCTGGCAAGAACCCGTGCCAAGCACGCGACCAGTAGCAGGGAGACAGCTGGCAGGGACACGTCAGGTACGGGCCGGGCCACCACAGGCACGGGCAGGGAGACCACATGTACGGGAAGAGACACGACTGGCACGGGAGCTGGCACGGGAGCTGGCACGGGAGCTGGTACTGGGGTTGGTACGGGAATTGGTACGGGTTTTGGTGGAAATTCGGGGCCTGGGACGGGTAGAGAGGTATCAAACACAGTGACTTTGAGAGGCTTGGTGTTATCAGGCAGGGAAGCAGTTGGCACTGGGGGGGAAGCAGTTGCAACGGGCAGAGAAACACCAGGTGAAATGCCAGGAGTCCAAGCACTGGAAGGGGCTTTTGCAGCAAGGAATGCCACACTTGTCACGGGCAGGGAAGCAGTTGCAACGGGCAAAGAAACACTAGGTGAATCACTAGGGTTCCACGCAGTGGAAGGTGGTTTTGCAGCAGCAGGGAATGCCCCTCGGTTTGATGGTCCTCTAATCTCCTGGCCTCTTAATCCTCCCAAACCCTTGTACGGAAATCCTCTGAGCCTGCTTGACTCTCACACAGCAGCAGAGGCAGGAGCAGCAGCAGCAGAGGCAGTGGGGGGAGCAGGGGTAGAAGCAGCGGGGGGTGGAGTAGCGACGGAAGAAGCAGCTGCAGCAGAAGCAGAGACTGGGGAAGGTGCAGTAACGGGAAGGGACACGCGCAGGGTAGAAAATCGCCTTGGTGCAGTTGAGGCTGCAGCAGAAGCAGGAGCAACGACTACAGTAGGGGCTTCCTTAGAGATACCATTTGCACCGCACAGAACCGCTGGTGCGTCAGCAGACGCAGGAGCAGGTGCAGTAGGGGCAGATGCAGGAGTAGCAGTAGGGACAGCAAGAGATTTCGCACCAGGAATCGCAACCGGTGAGGTACCAGCTTTTCGAGTGCATAGAGACACGGGTGCAGTAGCAGACTCAGGAACAGCAGTAGGGACAACAAGAGTAGGGAAAGATGCAGGTGCAACAGTGAAAACAGCAAGTGAGTCAGCAGTAGGAGATGCAGCGGGTGTGCCAGCAGCTGTTATGCACTGCAAACTGGCAAGCACAGGTGCTGCAGCAGCAGACCTGCTGATTCAAGAGGCGGGCAGAAGCTCCGATGTGCCTGAGAAGCGGGAGGGAGAGACTCCGGGCGCATGGAACGTTGCTGCTCTTTTCCCAGGCTGGTTTGCTCTCTTTGACCTGCAGACAACGGAACAGGAAGGTGGAGGGTTGCCCCCTGCCTTGCTCGCTTCTATAGAATCGCTGCGCCTCTCTCGAAGGGATATTGTCAAGTGAGTATCCCCTTCTCTTCGTGTTACAATTGTAACGCATTGACTTCCCCAACTCACAAGGTGGCGGGTTGCCCCCTGCCTTGCTCGCTTCTATAGAATCGCTGCGCCTCTCTCGAAGGGATATTGTCAAGTGAGTTCCCTTCCGCCCCTTCCCTTCTGCCTCCAACTTCCCCTCCCCCACAACTTCGTGCGCACACCACACTATACCCCACAACACCACACCACATCATACCATACCACCCACACCAACTCAATTGTTCATTCAATATCTTGACCTTGTTCTATGGTCGGTTTTTCTTCCCTCCACTGGACCTGCAGGATTCAAAGCCATCCGGGTGTCAGGGCACGAGTGGTTGGCTTCTTCCTTCGCCTCCGATTGGGCAAGAAAGAGGAGGATTTGGGCGGCACGGGTTACCGCATGGCCAAAATAACGGGTTTGTACCAAATGCCCTTGCATTTGTTAATACCCAGGTTCTTTCTCTTTGTTGCCTTTTCGTTGTATCCCACTAAATCAAGCTAGTCAATAGTGGCATTCCTTAATGCACTTCCGCACTCATCAATCCCTGTGTGCTGCTTCCAGGTGTCGTGCGAAAGCAAGCTGTTGAATCGGTACCCTCGTCTGCTGACTCAGGCGGAATGGCACTCACTGTAGATATGGGCGACGGGGAGTATACTGTAGACGGCCATTACGTCTCCAACAAACCATTTCTTGAGGTTAGTAAAATTGTGGAATTGGTACGGTATGGTCTTGTTTTCAGCCTCCAAGCGTGCAATTGACACCGGTTGATCGTCGTTCAGTTGGTTGGTTTTTGTGGTTCATGTTTTGTATTCTGTTTTTGCTGTCTATGTGTGTTTCAGGTTGAAGTTGTTGAGTGGTGTAGAAAGATATGGCAGAAAGGTGGGGCGGCGTTGCTTTCTCCCATTCTCTGCACCAAGGATATTGAGGCCAAGATATGTGAGAGAAGAGGCTGGAACTGAAAGAGGGAAGATCAGTAACAGCTCGAGTGTTGCGCTTTCATGTAATATTCCAAATGTTTTCTCATGGCTTCTAGTTATTAAATCACATGGTTTTGTAAAAAGAAAAAGGATATCCACTTAAATACACTTGCATCGTTCCATCAGGAGGAACCCCGTTTTCGCTACTGGAGCCCCATATATTTTTTTTTTTTTTGGTGGATATAGGTACACAATCAGCATACATACATCCGCAGTCGTAACTGTTGCTAGGAGGGCAGGGAGAGGTTACAAGCATCCTAGTAACCAGAGCCCCCCTTATCCCTTTACGGAGGCTGGAACGCTACACCGCTATCTTCCCAGATCTTCTTGAAACCAACTCTCCACGTCATCGAGGCCTCTGTCTCGTAGAGCCTACACATAGCACTTGCCTCGTCAGCATTCAAGTGGTTCCAGTCACCCGTCCTTTTCGAAGCAATCCTGCCAGCCGATTTCTTCCGCGCTCTGTTGTAGACCTTCACGTGCCTCGTGAAGCCAACTGCCATGCGCCTCAAAGCTCTCTTTGGTTGGAAACGGCTCCCTCGGAAAACCGCGTTGCACCTTTCCAGCCAAACTTGGTGCGCTGTGATGGATATGATTGCTGCCTCAGGAAAGCCAGTCGATGTGCCACTCTTTTGGAAGAGCATGTCCCCGAGCGAACGCATGTCCCTGCCCGGATTCATACACCGAACCACATTCTTCATCACCTCCACCACAGGTTGGATCACCGGGCAGCTGAAAAGACAGTGATCCTGCGATTCCACTCCGCCACAGTGCGTGCATTTCGCCCTCGCGCCCAAGAAAGGGAGCCGCTCTCCCACCTGGAGGTTGTTACTGTGCACCCTCAGTATCACCTCCCGTGCTCTGCATGGGGTTGCCAGCGAGTCACGGACCGTGATGGCCTTCCCCCAATCGATCTTCCTCCCCATCTCCTCTTCCCACTTCAGCTGCTGCTTCGGCTGCGTCACTGAGGGTTTCATCGCCTTCCTCAACTTCTTTAGATCAGCCCGCTCGCCTCTCTCACAGATTGTGGAACAGAGCAGTCGCGTTCTCGGAGCGCCGAGTAGGCCGCGAGCCCTCCCATCGATGACTGCCATGGGTGAAACGCGCCGGAAATCCACTGTTACCACGCTAGCATATTCCACCTCGCCTATGTTCCCTTTCTTGTCCACCGTCACTCTCCGACCGTAAAGTTCGCCATTGCTCACATACTGCAGCTGGTAGTAAAAGAACTCTCCTGGGCGGTAAGACGAAGAGCGGACCAGCCTCGATTCCCTGAAAACCTCCTCCGCCGACAGTTGCTTGAGTACCAGATCCTTCCAACTCTGTGGTGTCGCATCCCACGCCTTCAGGGCCCACTTCCTCTGCTCCACCCCTCCCAGTTCCCTCTCCAAAACCTCCTCGCTCTTACGAGATCTGCTGCCATCCCCTCCCATCACCACCAGATCCCCCAGACGGACGTCCTTCAGACAGAGCGAGCCCGCCTGATTACCGAAAGGTGATCTGCCCCTGAAGAAGATATTTCGATTGAACAATAACTGCTCCCCCTCCGCGTCCCACCTGTGAGCTGAGTCCCCTATGACCACCAGTTTCGAGTCCCACAGCGTTTTAATAGTGGCTTTCCACCTCGTGCCACCCCCCAGCCAGGTCTTCAGGATCGAAGGATGCGCGTAAACCGTGGCCAAGCCGAGGGGAAAAGCCGCCGCCCTCTCCCACAACCAGTTCCGAAGTGGCTCCTGCTCCGCCAGGGCTTTCCCCAGACCTTGGATCACCATGCTGTCAATCCGGTGCCTCAAGTCAATCACTCCCAGGCCCCCCTCTTTCCGTTCTCTGCAGGACAATTCGTAGCTCCATAGTGTGAAGTGTTTGTCGAGGAGCACCTTCCCTCCCGAGATGAAATTGTGGCACAGCCTCTTCACTTTGGTCCATACATCGTACGGTGGGGCGTAAATCTGCGCCTGGAAGAGCAGGATCGGCATCACATAACAGTTTATGATTGTAACTCGCGCTGATGTTTTGAGGTGCTTGCTCTCCCAGCAGCTCAGCACCGCGCTAATTTTTTCAAAGGCCTTGTCCCATGCAGGTCCCGGCGAGCCACCAGAGGTGATCCAGATTCCGAGCAGCCTTTCAGACGCGTTCTTCTCCGCCCACTTGAAGGACGACGTTATCGGCTGCAGCCTCCTTAGGTTTTTACCGAGCGGCATCAGTGTCGTCTTATCCCGGTTCACCTTCAGCCCTGAGATCTCCGCGAACTCCCCCAACAGTTTCTCAGCCACTACCACCTGTTCCTTGCCCTTCAGGACCAGCGTCGTGTCGTCTGCATAACCAATGTAGTCCAAGCTCCCTTTCACCCCCCTCTTCCTGACCCCCAGTTTCCTCCATTCTATTTCCTGGCAGAGTGGCTCAACCGCGCAGAGGAAGAGGTATGGGGCGAGCGGGCAACCCTGCCGAACACCTTTGTCCATCTCCACCCGTTCCCCGATCCAGCCGTTCAACAGCACTCTGGTCGCCGCTCCATCGTGAAGACCCTTCACCCATCTCGTGAACTTCTCCGAAAAGCCCATGTTGCCCAGTGTCGTGAAAAGGTAGTCCCGCGATACCGAGTCATAAGCTTTCTGAAAATCAACCAACAACAGCAGCCAGTCCTCGTCTTCCTGCTCCGCAGCGTCAATCGCATCCGCTACCAGCGAGACAGCATCAGCGAGACTCCTCCCCGGAAGGAAGCCGAACTGGTTACCGGAGATCACTTTCGGTAAGACCACCTTGATTCTATTCGCCAACACCTTCGCTAGCAGTTTGTAGAAGAAGCTCAGTAATGTGATCGGTCGATAATTCCCCAAATCCCCCCTGTCGCCTTTCTTGTGCAGAAGGATCGTAACCGCCGTCGTAAAGGATTCCGAAAGCACACCCGTTGACTCAAAGGTCCTGACTTCCTTCATCACCGCCGGACCCAGCAGCTCCCAATTCCTTTCGAAAAACTCTTTCGGCAAGCCGTCCTGCCCCGGGGCTTTCCCCGCCGGTAAGCCTTTCAACGCCACTTTCACCTCCTGTTCTGACCATTCGCTGTCCAGCTGCCGGCGATCACATTCCTGCAGCGTTCGTCCCTCTTCAATCGGCCACGGCTCCACAGGCGAGGACGTCGGCGACAACGCGTTGGCCTCACGGAAATGCTCAGAGGCCGCTTGCAGCACCTCGCTCGCTCCTTTCCTCAACACCCCCTTGAAGGTGAGCTCCGCAATCTCAGTTTTCGCTTTTCTGGACTTGACCAAACCGGACAGGAAGCCCGATGGAGTCTCACCCGCCAGCTCCTGCATCATCCCCGTCAGAACTTGCAACCGCTCCTTGTTGCTGTCTTGGTGGAGCTTCAGAGCCACCTCACACCGTACCAGCTCCTCGTACAACGCCTGCGACGAAGGGTCAGACATCACTTTCCATCTTAGCTCTTCCACCTTCTGCTCCAAGTGTACCATGGTCGCCTTAACCCGTTTCCTCTCTTCTGCTACATGCGCCCTCATGCTTGCCCGCAGACACGTCACCAATCTCTCCAGGCCCTGATCCGGACAATTCGCCTGGGAAACCAAGACCGCCGATATGATGTTCCGGACACCCTCGCCCCCGGCATGAGGTGCTTGAAGCCTCCACAACCCTGGTCCGTGGTCATCTGCCGATGCAGCCTTGAGCGACACCGACACCGCAAACCAGTGGTCTGTTAATCCGTATGGGACCATTCTATGCTTCGCCTCTGTAACGCAGTTGAGAAGAGAATGTGAAACTAACACCCTGTCAATCCGTGTGCTTGTTTTTGCAGACCTTGAGAAGAAGGTGTACTCCTTCCGGGTCGGGTGGAGGCACCGGAAAGCGTCTTGCATATCCCATCTCGAGCAGATCTGCAGGAGCCTCTGGTTTTCCGCCGGTGTACCCAACTTCGAAGACTTGTCAAGCACAGGGTCCGCAACGATGTTCAGGTCGCCAAGAAGAATGGTATACGGGGAGGCGCTCAAGTTCTGTACAAAAGGCGTTAGTACGTCGCGAAAGAAAACCCCCCTAGCGGGTGCCTGCGCCGGTAAGTATACAGCCACCACCCTGCAGGTCAGATCGCGCCATGCAAGCATCAGACTGATGAGCCTGCCGGACTCATGTGTAACCACATCCGTGAACCGCATGCCTGGCAGGAAACTTAAGACCGCCACCCCCCCGGCTCTCTGTGACGGGCCAACTACCGCCTGAGCTTCCGACCGGATTTGCGTCCAGAAGTTATGATCCTGTGAAACACGTGTGTCAGTGAGTACCACTATGTGTGCTACCTTTCTGATCCACTTTCCGCATCTCTCCTGTTTCCCGCAGCTACCGAGCCCGTTGATGTTGAGCTCGAGAAAGGTTAAGCTGTTGCGTTTATCCATTAACCACCCTCTTTGAGCCCCACAGCATCCACGGGCGATTGATCTTTATTGCGACGATGCATCCTGCTACAGCGAAGGAGAAACAGGCACCAACTACACAACATGCACCGAACAACCACAACGGCGTCTCATCCGCTAAGCCGCTGTTCACTTCTTTGCCGGCACAGCCATGAACTCCTTTTTGAAAGCAGCCATCTTCTGCGAGTGCATGCTGGCGCGCGTTGCAGCACCTTCTGACTTCAGCCCTCCCTTGTGCCTGGCAGAGGCTACATGAGCCGCCGCCTGCTCGAAACGATTCCCTTGGGCCTTCTCGCAGACAGTCTGTACGCACACCCACTCCTCCCGCACACCTCCAGTAGAGGTGAGTATGACTGCGGGGTCTTTCAGAATGCGCGTCAGGGGCGCTGTGGCTTTCAGGGAAGCCGCTGCGAGAGGAGGTGAGGAGACAGTCGTCAGTACGGCTCTGAAGGCACGGTACGAGCGGAGCAGAAATCGAAGGTAACGAAAGCGAAAACCGAGGAGGAAGAGGCTTCCTGCTTATACCGTTCATGTCATGAACCTTTTTGACCGTCAGGTTCCAGTTGGTGAAATTCTCCTGTCTCGGGGTGACATAGTGGTCGTGGTAGCGGGTCATGTGCTGGCCACTGCAGAGCTCGCAGGTAAGCGACGGGTAATGAAGCAGGTAGCGCCTGCCAGTCGACGGGTCCTCCACGAAGTACCTCCAGCGATACCCATCGTCGACATGGGGTACAAAAAGGCCACGGATCCGATCGGTGTCTAACCCAGTGACCGGATCAACGGTCCGGTGAAAACCAAAGCCGCTGGCGAAAGCGCTCCGACCACGCTTAACCAGCGTCGACACCACCAGCAGGTGACGTATCAGCTCAGCAGTAATGTCCGCAGGGACTCCCTTGACAACAACCTCCTTCGCCGTCGGGTTCAGCAGACGCTCACGAAGAAAACGCGCGTCCTCCGGATGCTGCCAGGTAAAGTCGACCACGTCGCCGTTCACACACTCGTGCCTGACGACCTGGCTCCAAACAAAATTTGCATCGCGGACGTGGTTGAAGGTAACTTGAAGGCGACCATAACGCACGCCAGAGAAATAAGTCGCAGTAAGCTCCTGATAAGTTGTCGTCTGCAGCACGTCCGGCGACAGCTGATCCTTCCAATCATCCAGCAAGGCAGCCACAGTTACAGCAGTGCGCTTGACTTCGGGTTTCCTGTTAAACGGCACCAGCAAGGTTAGCGAGAAGCGTTTCAAAGCGATAATGCTGCCAAGCGAAGTCGGTTCCAGATGTTCATCGGAGTCGTCACTCAGGTAACCATCGTCGTCGTCATCAGGGGCCTGGTCAGACGCAGCATCCTCATCCTCCTGCGCGGCAGCATCCGCATCAGCCTCACCATCAGCGGCCACCTTTCCGTCCTCCTTAGCAGCAGCACCAGCGACCCCGGCAGCACCATCGCCGTCTTGTCCAGCGGGAATGTCAGCCTTGATCTGTAAGTCCAGCAAGTCTTCGAAGGGACCGAGCACCGCAGGCGCCGAAGAAGAAGCCGGCGTACGACCATTATCGGCAGCATCCTTCACAGGCACAGCAGGTACATTGGCCATATCACCCTCCTTGTCAGTATCAAGAGTCTTCTTGCCAGTCTTGTTGCTGCGACCTTTCCCCATGGTGCGATGATGAGAGAAGCTTGACAGCCCGTTGGAGGCTGAACAACAAGCCGGACTGAGCACATTTGACGCTGAAGCAGACTGTTTGTACTTCATATGTTTGAAACTGAAACGCTGCAGGTCCAGGCCCGAGGGCAGCGCCAGAACCATAGGGAACGCCAGGCAGTCAAGCTGGGTAGAAACCACGGAGATTGGTGAACCATAGAGAAAGTCGGCCTTGAGAGTAGCGCGAGCTGATGACAAAACCAAAGGTAATGCGCGATGATATCCATTAGGAAGCTTAGATACTTGTTTGAAGTCATGTGCAATAGTAGGCGTTGATGATGCTTGAAACACTGACGACTGCCTGGAACTCATATAAATGGTGTTTAGGTTCCCGTAATGAACACTTAAAATACACCATTGTGTAGAGCTTAAAGCCGCGCGTCGTATAAGTGTCTCAATGTCTGCATCAGGACATAAATTGCTGCACATTGACGTAGTTAAAGCTCTCCGCCATGGCCATGGATGTATTGTCATAGCAGCCTCGCCTTGTACCCAGGTGCATCATTCAATAGTTCAATAGTTCGCCTTCGAGCCCCATATGCACCTCACCAACCTTCGTCAACGACCAATCACGACGCAAGAAATGGCTGGCTCGGCAATCTCGAGGGGGCAAAGTGGTTGATTCGGCTCGGCAAAATCGAAACCAAGGGGAAACCTTGGCTCGACATTCCCAGGGGCCGAAATTCTTGGAACCAGATTTCTTGCACCTAGTGCCGCAGAAGCCTTCGTTGGGAGGGAACATCAGCACAGCAGCACAGCCTTGACCCCACCTCTCCAATATTCACCACTGGGAAATAGGTTTCACATTCATCCATACTTTCACACCACACCCTGACACAGTCTCTGTTTGTTGGTGGGGTGGGTGTTGCTGGTAGCGCTGGTGGCGCTGGTGCTGCTAGTGCAGCCGGTGGTGTTGCTGCTTTTACGTAGCAGCAGCGATCCGGTTCCTTTCCCGACCCCTCTAGCATTCCCGGTGGTGTCTGGTGAAGTCAATATTCGTCAGAATTGAAGGCCAGCCAACAACATTTTCCTAATCCAGATTCGTCGCAGCTCATCCGCGGCAATATAGCTCGGCAGCTAGGCAGTTAGGGCATTCGGCTTTGTGGGACCCTGGCTTTTTAGCTCTAGCCAACGCATCTTGATCGGGTCCCGCTTCTTTCGCATAAGGAGCGCCAGATTGGTTGGTACTTGAGGCATAAAAGCTGTTAAATTGGTCGTTTCGAAGCGGTTATGGCGTTCGTTTCCAAGCTTCGCGTACGACGCAATAAGAATGGCTTCCGGTAGCGCTTTCTTCTTGACAATGCGGAAGATCGCAGCGCAGATCACGAGCTGATGTCCTGGGGAAATTACCCTGAATTTTGAGTAGATTCAAATTCGGCCCCAGCTATGTCTGGGGAAATGCATTTGTGATTCGAAGAGCTTGGGTATTTCCTTGCAGCAGTTTATATCGAGCCTGTGATCTGAAGAGCTTAAGCATTGAGGAAAGTCCCGCGAAATTTGCCGCGTTCATAACAGCGTAAAAAGCCCCCGTCGTACTGTGAAGGTAATTTACCCTCAAAATGAGGCTGCATCCTAGTAAAGGCGGAGCCGCCTCCTTAAGAGTAGGCGCCACTCGCGCCGTCTTATCCTCTCGCGTCCCCGTCCCTAAGAATCTCCGGCCGAAACCCCCTCCGCTAGTCGCGCTCTTCACCTCTCCAGCGTTCTTCCGTCTCCTAGTCGTCCTCCTAGCTCTATCCTTCATCACTTTAACTGGTCTGTCTTTTGTTGAAATCGAGGAGGACACTGTCGAGAAAGCGATCACGCGGCAGCTGATGAGTGCGGACGAAGACGATAGGGGCGGCAAGGGATCGAGCAACGACCTGGGCGTGCACCTCGCGAGAGACGAGGAGGAATTGCCGGAGCAGCTGAAGCAGCGGCCGCGCCAGTCCGACGGCGGGGAAGGCGGGGACGCGGGGGAAGCGGGGGGAGCGGGAGGGGGAGAGGGGGAAGAGGAGTCCGGTGGGGATTCCGGCGATCAGAGCGACTCGCTGCATGTGCACGTGCATCTGATCGCATCGTGCGATGTGGAGTCGGTGGAGGAGAGTTTGGACATGCTGCAGAGTAAAGTGCTGTGGGATGAGCATTACGTGCCGCTCACCGTCCTGCTGGACTGCCAGTAAGTGAAACATACACTAATCCCAATGTAAAGTGATACATACAGGTGCAGTAGCGTCTTATGGTGTGGAGTCGGTGGAAGAGAGCTTGGATATGCTGCAGAGTAAAGTGCTGTGGGATGAGCACTATGTCCCCCTGACCGTCCTGCTGGACTGCCAGTAAGTGAAACATATGAGGAATGTTACACTTATAACAGTTACGATACGGAAAAATATATATATATATATAAATTCCAGTACAGTAGCGTCTCATGATGTGGAGTCGGTGGAAGAAGAGAGTGTGGGGACACACCGCAGAGTTAAGTGCTGTGGGAGGAAAACTACGTCGCGCTCACTGTGCTGCTGGACTGCCAGTGATAACAAGTACAGTAGCCTTCCATGTGGGGAGTCGGTGGAAGAGAGTGTCAGGACACGCCGCAGAGTAAAGTGCTGTGGGACGAAAACTATGTCCCCCTGACTGTCCATCTGAACTGCCAGTAAGTGTAATATACATACACCAAATGGTAAGAATCAGTCAGCTGTGATGCTCACAACTTGCAACATGCAGTGGTGCTTTGGGCCCTACACTGTGCTCCTCTTCCCCATCCATCCCCTCACAGCGATCCCAGATATGAATCAGCCATAATGCTCGCAACTCGCTGTGTGAAGTGGCGCTTTGGTCCCTGCAGCGTGACATCCGCATCCATTCTCCTCTCCCCTTCTCCAACACCCCTTTCTCCCCCTCCCACCCCCTTCACAGCGATCCCAAGTATGAATCAGCAGTGATGCTCGCAACTCGCCGCGTGCAGTGGCGTTTTGGTCCCTACACCGTGCGATCCAACGCTCCCACCATCGAAACAGCCACTGCCAGAACCGCCGCTGCTGCCGGGCTGAGGGGCGGGAAGGGCGCTACTGCTGGTGCTGCTGCTGGTGCTGCTGGTGGTGGTGATGGGGAGGAGAGTGACTGGGCTGTTGTGTTTCCTAGAGACAAAGTCAAGGCAGCTGTCTTTCAGAGGAGGAGGCTGCTCGGGTGTAACGATACCGCAGTAGGGGGGACGGTCCCTGCGGCTCTCATCAAGTGTGATAGCGATATTGGGGAGAGGGAACCTGCGGCTGGATGGTTCGGGTTTGACAAAATCGGGTATGGGTTTAACGAAACGGGGGACGGGGGAGAGAGGTTATGGGCGCCTGAGGAGTTTTCACATGGCAGCGGAAATGCTCTTTTGGAAGGGGATGTGGTTTTGGGTTTGGGTTTAAATGTGGATGCAGGTTTGGGTGTGGGAAGGCGCTTGCTGGGTAAAACAGCTGTTGTGGCAAAGAAAGGGGTGGCGGTTTTGGGTAAAGGAGCTGCGGTGAAAGGTGGGCAGGGGCAGGGCAAGGGTAAGGTTGCAGCAGCAAAGGGCGGTTCAGCTGCAGTAGCAGCAGGAGGTGTTAAACCAGGCGGTAAAGCCGGGAATGCTGCTGCTGCAGGCGCTAAAGCAGGAGCAGCAGCCAAGGCAGGCAGCAGCAAGGGTAAACCGGCTTCTACTGGCACCAAACCGGCCAAAACAGCTGCTGCTGCTAAATCCACTGGAGCTACATCCGCCGCTACAGCTGCTACAGCCGTCGCTGCACAGGGCGGCAGCAGCGAGGTGGCAGCTCTGACCTTCCTGGACGCGTGGCGGCCGAAATCAGCCCTGGGCATCGCGTTCTACCTGCGGGACTCAGCGCGCGTGTCGCCCTTCTTCTACCGCTTCCTGGTGGACTCTGTTGAGATGCTTGCGGGGGCTGCTCCTCCGAGTGACGATGGAACTGACAGCGTGGGCGATCTTTACTCGAGCCCACCCTTCTCCACCCTGTTTGGAATCAGCATACTGGACCCGGGCACAGCACCAGGTGAGCCTTCAATCCTACCCACCGTCCCCCACACACCCACACACACACGCCCTGGGGATCGCGTTCAACCTGCGGGACTCGGCGCGCGTGTCGCCCTTCTTCTACTGCTTCCTGGTGGACTCTGTTGAGATGCTGGCGGGGGCTGCTCCCCCCAGTGATGACGGCAGTGACAGTGTCAGCGACCTCTACTCAAGCCCGCCCTTCTCCACTCTCTTTGGAATCAACATTCTTGATCCAGGCACTGCACCAGGTGAGCCTTCAATCCCACCTACCCACTTACCCACCTGCCCACCTACCCACCCACCCACCCACCCTTCTTCTACCGCTTCCTGGTGGATTCCGTTGAGATGCTGGCGGGGGCTGCTCCTCCCAGTGATGACGGTGGGGATAGTGTCAGCGACCTCTACTCCAGCCCGCCCTTCTCAACTCTCTTCGGCATCAGCATTCTGGACCCGGGCACGGCACCAGGTGAGCCTTCACTCCCACGTTCCCACCCACCCTCCCTCCCACACGCCCTTCTTCTACCGCTTCCTCGTTGACTCGTTGAGATGCTGGCAGGGGCTGCTCCCCCAAGCGATGATGGTAGCGACAGTGTCAGCGACCTCTACTCGAGCCCGCCGTTCTCCACCCTGTTCAGGATCAATATACTGGACCCAGGCACGGCACCAGGTGAGCCTTCAATCCTACCCACCATCCCCCACACCCGCCCCCCACACACACGCCCTGGGCATCGCCTTGTGCTCTACCTGCGGGACTCGGCGCGCGTGTCGCCCTTCTTCTACCGCTTCCTGGTGGACTCCGTTGAGATGCTGACGGGGGCTGCCCCTCCCAGTGACGATGGAACTGACAGCGTGGGCGAGCTGTACTCCTCCTCACCGTTCTCCACCCTGTTCGGCATCAGCATCCTGGACCCGGGCACAGCAGCAGGTGGGCTAGTGTTGTGGCAGACTGAAAACTTGATCTTCCCTTCCCCCCCCCCCCTCCCCACACCCAAGTTCTCCACCAACCCCCCCCTGCGTGGCACCTGCACCATGCACAGACTGTCGACTGTCAGTTGGTCTTCCCAACCCTCTGTCCTTCTGCTTCCCTCCCTCGCTCCCTTGATCTTCCCTCCATCCCCCCCCCACAGTGCCCCAGCAACCCCCTCCCGCGTGGCACCTGCACCAGTCTCTCACAGTCGACTGTCAGTTCCTCTTCCCAAAGCCCTGGAAAGAAATCCTCCTTTTGTGCCGCTCCTTCCCCAACACCTCCTTCTCCCTGCCTCCTTCCCCTTCCCGTACCCCTTTTCTTCCCCCCATTTCGTCTCCCCCCACAGTGCCCCAGCAACCCCCTCCCGCATGGCACCTGCACCAGTCTCTCACAGTCGACTGTCAGTTCGTCTTCCCAACGCCCTGGAAATAAATCCTCCTTTTGTGCCTCTCCTTCCCCAACACCTCCTTCTCCTTCTCCCTGCCTCCTTCCCCTTCCCGTACCCCTTTTCTTCCCCCAATTTCGTCTCCCCCCACCAGTGCCCCAGCAACCCCCTCCCGCGTGGCACCTGCACCAGTCTCTCACAGTCGACTGTCAGTTCGTCTTCCCAACCCCCTGGGAAGAAATCCTCCTCTGGCGCCGCTCCTTCTCCAACACCTCCTTCACCCTCTCCTCCTCCGTTTCCCACCTCAAAGACGCCGCGTTTGCCGTCTCAGCTGTAGCGGCAAGCCGCGAAGGCTCGGTGAATCTTCAGGGGAAGTTTCAGGGGCGGAGGAGGGCGGATCTGGGGACGGATTATTTCACCAAGACATGCCAGGCGGATCCGGTGCAGCAAATACACTCGTTACTCGATAGCCATGGGAGATTTAATCTCCTCGCACCAGATATTAACGGGAGCAGCATGTGCGTCTCACTTGCACCAATCAGGAAGCAGGAGGAGCGGGCGAAGGGGTTAGTAGCAGCCGCAGCCAAAGCGAAAAGGAAGCTAAACCCTAAAGAGGCTGCAGAGGTAGCAAAGGCGAAAAAGGCCAAGGAGGTGTTACTTGCAAGACTGTTTGACGATCCTCAGTATGCGTTAGGGAAAGAGAGCCCACGGGTGGTTAGAGTGCTGGAAAAAAGCGCTGTAAGTGCCGACGCTTTGCTAAGAACGCCCCGAACGGACATATGCGGGCGGCCGGTGCGAAGGGGACTGTACGCTCAAGACGTGAAAGGACTTAGAAAAATGCTGTCGGTGATCCAGACGAATAACACGGTCGTTGCTGTGATGACGAGCGTAGGGTTTGCCGATATGCTCACCAACTGGCTGTGTTACGTGCGAGAATTAGGGTTTACAAATTTCTTTATTATTACCACGTCGGCGAAACAGGCGCTGGATTTGTTTGCGAAGGGGCACGCAGTGTTCCTCCTTCGGCCGTCGTTCATTCACCTCAACTCCTCCCTCCCCGGCACCCTCTCGTCCTCCTCCTCCTCCTGCTGCTGCTGCTGCTGCTGAAGCGGCTCATTTGAGAGCAGCGGCGTATCTGCAGAATGCAGGGGGGGATGGGCAGCAGCAGCAGCAGCAGCAGCAGCAGCAGCAGCAGAGTGGGGGAGGGATGGGGAGGATGGGACGCGCATTGCTAGGGTTTGGAGAGCATGAAGGGCGTCTGGGGGGAGAGTGGGGCGGCTGTGCGGAGCAGAGCAGTCTAGGGTTTGACGAGCTAGGAGGGGAAGGGGACGAGGGAGAAGAAGACTGGAGGGAGGGCAGGCATGGGAGCAGACTGCTGATGAGTGCTGGTGGCAGCGGTGGTGATGGGTTCGGAGGGGTTGGAGGGGGAGGGGAAGGGGGAGGAGGGGAGAGCGGGAGGAGGAAGGCCAAGTGGGGGTTCAGGCTGGTGGCGGCAGCTAAGGCGATGGATATGAGGCATGGGAACAGGGTGCTCATGAGTGCTGGAGGCAGCGGTGGTGAGGGGTTCGGAGAGGTTGGAGGGGGTGGCGAGGGCGGGAGGAGGAAGGCCAAGTGGGGGTTCAGGCTGGTGGCAGCAGCTAAGGCGATGAATATGAGGCATGGGAACAGGGTGCTCATGAGTGCTGGAGGCAACGGTGGTGAGGGGTTCGGAGAGGTTGGAGCGGGTGGAGAGGGCGGGAGGAGGAAGGCCAAGTGGGGGTTCAGGCTGGTGGCGGCAGCTAAGGCGATGAAACGGGCGGCAAGGCGGGTGGCAACTGCGTCTGGTCTGAGACGCACCCCCAACATCACCGTTCCCTTCTCCATGGAATACGGGGGGATAGGGTACAAGCAGGTAGGTTGAGAGGAAGGCTAAGTGGGAGTTCATGGGGGTTCATGGGGGTTCATGGGGGTTCGTGGGGGTTCATGTGGGTTCATGGGGGTTCAGGCTGGTGGCAGCAGCTAAGGCGATGAGTGTTAGGCATGGGAACAGGGTGCTCATGAGTGCTGGTGGCAGCAGCTAAGGCGATGAAACGGGCGGCCAGGCGGGTGGCAACTGCGTCTGGTCTGAGGCGCACCCCCAACATCACTGTTCCCTTCTCCATGGAATACGGGGGCATAGGGTACAAGCAGGTAGGTTAATACAAACACGTGTGTATACATGAAGGTTGGGAGGGTCTGGTCTGAGACGCACCCCCAACATCAGAGTTCCCTTCTCCATGGAATACGGGGGGATAGGGTACAAGCAGGTAGGTTGAGAGGAAGGCTAAGCGGGGGTTCATGGGGGTTCATGGGGGTTCAGGCTGGTGGCGGCAGCTAAGGCGATGAAACGGGCGGCCAGGCGGGCGGCCAGCGGGTGGCGACTGTGCCAACATCGTCTCAGGCCTGAGACGCACCCCCAACATCACCGTGCCGTTTTCTATGGAATATGGCGGGATTGGGTACAAGCAGGTAGGCTGATGCTAACAGGTAGGCTGAGCTGATAGGATCAAGTGTGGTTGCGTGAAGATTGAGGCGCACCCCCAACATCACTGTGCCCTTCTCTCTTGGAATACGGGGGGAATGGGTACGAGCAGGTGGGGATGAATGAAAGTAGGTAGCCTCTCTTTCCCAGCGCTCTTGTGAAATGGAGTGATAGGCAGGGTTCAGTCTGGCTGGTCTTGTGAACCTCTCTTCTTCTCTCCCCCTGATGGCTTTTGAGTTGATGCCTTCCTTTTTCTCCCCTCCCGCTTGGGTCGTCCCTGCAGCTGCTGCTCAAGCGCACGCGATTGGTGGGCTCGATTCTCAAGATGGGGTACAAAGTGCTGCTTGCTTCCAACATCACTTTATCTCCCCATCCCTCCCCATCCCTCCCCATCCCTCCCCATCCCTCCCTACCCCTCTGCAGCTGCTGCTCAAGCGCACGCGATTGGTCGGTTCGATTCTCAAGATGGGGTACAACGTGCTTCTTGCTTCCTGCACCACCGTGTCTCCCCTTCATCTCCCCCACTGCTTGCTTCCCGCACCACTGTGTCTCCACTTCATCTCTCCGCACCCCTCCCCATCCCTCCCCTGGCCATCCGCTCAGTTGTTGCTCAAGCGCACGCGATTGGTCGGCTCGATTCTCAAGATGGGGTACAACGTGCTTCTTGCTGACGTGGACGCCGTGTGGCTCTCCGATCCATTCGTCCACATGGGCAACAAATCCGTGGACATCTACGGGCAGGTGAGATGACATTTACGGGCAGGTGCGAGGATATTTACGGGCCGGTGAGGCAGTGAGCAGGTGAGGCAAGCAGATGAGGCAGTGAGAGTAGGGGACTAGGGAGTGGAGTGGGGCAGTGGCAGTGAGGGTTGAGTGAGGATGAGTCAGCGATTCTCAACTTGAGCAGCCGTGGCGTGCGGGGTTAGGTGCATTCCTATATTTTATTATAGTTATAGCACCGACCCAGGCTGCGTACACCGAATTCTAGGCTTTTCGGTTGCCACCAAATTGCCTTCTACCGAATTCGGGAAGGGTCTGTTCGGGACGCTTCGCGACCCTCGAAACCTTCGCGTAACACCTGGTTACTAGGCCTTGTGTCGAGCCTATATATAGCCTCGTGTTGTAACCAGGTGATTCATTCAATTCACATTCTCTTTTCTGAGCTCGATCCTAGATCCTCACACCTAGAGACGTCAGAGTGACCCCCCAAAAACCACTCTGATTTTCAGAGAAACAGAGAAATTTACTTTGATAAAAAAGGCCTGACTCGCAGGTGAGATTCTGTGGACGGGCAGGGTGGCTCGGTGGGCAAGGGGCAGTGGGCAGGTGAGGTGAGGCAATGGCCAGGTGAGGCGGTTGGGGATTGGGCAGCACCCGTGTGTTAACCCTATGGGACCAGCACATGCACATTTTGACAGAATCAATTTTCCCGACATCATTCTCCTGCCTGTGTCCCCATCCCCACCACCTCAGTTGGAGCCCTCAGGTCAGCTGTGCGGTGGGTTCCTCTTCCTGCGCTCCACACCACGTGTGGTAACTCTATGGGACCGACCAACCTTCTCCTCTATCTACCCGCTTCCCTCTCTGCTCTCCCCACTCCCACCTCCTCTCAGCTGGAGCCCTCGGGTCAGCTGTGCGGGGGATTCCTCTTTTTGCGCTCCACGCCGCGTGTGGTAACCCTATGGGACCAGGTTACGGGGCTGTACACGCGCACATTCAACCGCATGGCTAAAGAAGCACTGTACAAGAAACCAGAGGAGATGGGCGCGTGGCTAAAGGTGAGAGGCATTCCCTTAACACTGTGGTATCTCTGGTGTAAAACGTTGGTAACCCTACAGTAGCCTCATGGGACCAGGCTACAGTCTACAGGGCTGTACACTCGCACGTTCAACCGCATGGCCAAGGAGGCACTGTACAAGAAACCCGAGGAAATGGGCGCATGGCTTAAGGTGAGAGGCTGTCTGGTACTGTGGTTACCACTGGTAACCATGTGGTGGTAACCTTATGGGACTGGGTCTACACTTGCACGTTCAACCGCATGGCCAAGGAAGCACTGTACAAGAAACCCGAGGAGATGGGGGCCTGGCTTAAGGTGAGATGTAACCCTGTGGTAACCACATCATAACCCTACATAGTGTAGTGGTAACCGCATGGCCAAGGAGGCACTGTACAAGAAACCCGAGGTGATGGGCGCGTGGCTTAAGGTGAGAAGCTCTGTTGTAACACTGGTAACCATGTGGTAACCCTATGGGACCAGGTCAGCACGCCCACGTTCAACCGCATGGCCAAGGAGGCACTGTACAAGAAACCAGAGGAGATGGGAGCGTGACTGAAGGAGGCCAAGGAGGCACTGTGACCATGGCCATGTGGTAACCATGTGGTAACCCTACCTACTGTGCTAACCGCATGGCCAAGGAGGCACTGTACAAGAAACCAGAGGAGATGGGGGCGTGGCTCAAGGTGCGTTGTTGTGACCATGTGGTCATTTGATGGTAACACGCTGTGGTAACCATGTTGCCAAGGAAGCACTGTACAACCTTTGGTAACCCTATCGAGCATCTGCACGAGCAGCGGTATCTGAACCAGCTGCTGTCTCTTTAGGGTTACCATACACCTCCACACATCTACCAACCATTTCCCTCACTCCCCTTTCCTCCCTGCTCTCAATGATCCAAGCATCTGCACGAGCAGCGGTATCTGAACCAGCTGCTGTCTCTTTAGATATCTGAACCAGCTGCTGTCTCTTTAGATATCTGAACCAGCTGCTGTCTCTTTAGATATCTGAACCAGCTGCTGTCTCTTTAGATATCTGAACCAGCTGCTGTCTCTTTAGATATCTGAACCAGCTGCTGTCTCTTTAGATATCTGAACCAGCTGCTGTCTCTTTAGGTATCTGAACCAGCTGCTGTCTCTTTAGATATCTGAACCAGCTGCTGTCTCTTTAGATATCTGAACCAGCTGCTGGGGAAGCGGAGGAACAAGGTGCAGGTGCGAGGGCTGCATGTGCTACAGTGCGTTTCTGAGGAACCTTCTAAGGCGTCTCGACAACTTGTTCCCCGCTCTTCCCCTTTCCCATCCCCACCCCTACTTCCCCCCGCCCCCTCAGCAATTCGAGCACCTGCACGAGCAGCGGTATCTGAACCAACTCCTGGGAAAGCGGCGGAACAAGGTGCAGGTGCGAGGACTGGACGTGCTAAAGTTCCCCAACGGCAAGGAGTTGACTGATGAGTTGCGTTGCGACTGTGGGGCAAGGTAATGCAGGAGCAATGGCTGCACGTGCTCAAGTGTGTTCTTCCCCTCACTCCCCTCCCCCCGCTTTCAGCAATTCGAGCACCTGCATGAGCAGAGGTATCTGAACCAGCTACTGGGGAAGCGGAGGAACAAGGTGCAGGTGCGAGGGCTGGATGTTTTGAAGTTCCCCAACGGCAAGGAGTTTTTCGTGCAGCGGGCGCCGCAGCAAGCAGAGGTGGCGCCTGTTGTGATTCACAACAACTACATCAAGGGGAAGAAGGTGCGTGCGACTGACTGTGACGGTGACTGTGACGGTGACGGTGGTGCTGTGTGAATTGTGCTGTTTTGTGTGCAACGCTTGTTGCAGCAAGCAGAGGTGGCGCCTGTGGTGATTCATAACAACTACATCAAGGGGAAGAAGGTGCGTGTGACTGTGACTGTGGGGCATGTGAGTGTGACTGTGGAGCATGTGAGTGTGACTGTTGTGATGGTGGCGTGTGTGGTGGTGGAGTGCGGTGTGCCAGCAGTGTTGTCTGTCGCTGTATTGTGTGTGGTGTGACAGGCTGTGGCTGAGTGCTGGTGTGACTGTTGTGATGGTGCCGTGTGTGGTGATGGAGTGGGATGTGCCAGCAGTGTTGCCTGTCGCTGTCTTGTGTCCGGTGAGTAAGGAGCGATATTAGGTTGTTGATGTCCAGTCTGAATGTTTGGATGAGTGTTGGCAAACGTGAAGACTTGGATTGCTCCACTTTGCGCAGATTCACTATTGACCCGCACTTATATCTTGTTGCACTGCTTGTCACCTTATGTTAAACCGCAGGCCAAAATTCAACGGTTTAAAGAGTTTGGTTTATGGCGAGCTGATCCAAGTGGAACCTCATGCCTTTGCCTTTCGTGCCCATCGCAAGCCACCACACAAAAAGGAGCCCTAGGTCGGCACTAAATAGAGTGGGATCCCTGTGATGATAATTTACTGGAGGTGATTTGACAAAGAGTTGGCGTACTATCCGGCTCGGAAAGTAGTATTTGTTGTAATGCATCTCCTATAAGTGTTCACAGGAATTGTTGCATTATACTATTCTCATACGGTATGTCCATTTGCTAATAATGTAAACTAAATGTGAGGCACATAGTTTTGGCTTCTCTTCTCGTCGAGGGTAGTCGCTGCCATCGCACGTCGTCCGCGCCAATGGAATAGCTCGGCCCGGGTCGCATGTGCGATGTCAGCAAGTCACCAGCCAATCAGCTCGTATGACGCAAGCTCTGTGACGTGACCCTTGCTTCGGGCAGCGAGCAGCCAATCAGTTCCTTGAACTCTGTCGCCCCTTGCTGCTGCTGACCACACATCGCCCCTCAGCGCGTGCCATATTCCTCATCCATTCACGACATCTCCCGCCTCCTCGATTTCAGACTGTCGCCGCCAACTCGTTGGAGAGGTGAACAAGGTAGAAAAGCAGCAGTCGCGCAGTGGTCGTCGGCTGTAAGGACGTGGTGCGGAACGCCTTGGCACGCTTCGATGCACCGCGGTGCACCGGGTTTTGAAGCTTCCACGCATGCGGGAACCCGATGCATCGCCTCGTCCTGGGGCGTGCCGGGACTAGGCGATGCACCGACGCGTGCTGGCACGCCCCGGGGCGTGCCCTGGGGCGCCGCAGCACGTGCGAAAGGCATGCGAACTTTTGAGATTGAAGTTACTTTCCGAGTTTGTGACGCGAGGATCTCGATGAAAGTGTTTTTCGATTGCGACATTACTGGGTGGATCAACGGCGAGATTTCTATTTGCGAGCCGGTTGGCGGAAGTCAACTGTGTACACATCCTAGGGCGAATTTCGCGTCTCAGCCTCTTGCTTTCGCCCATCGCTGGGCGAAGGTTCGAACCCAGCACTTGGAAGACTACTTGTAATTTACCTTGGGCAGGGAGGTGTGCCACGAGGCGAGCTGGGACGCCCCGGGTCTGGACCCGTTCCGCACCACGTCCTAAATGTCGCCCACCGATAGCAGGCAGCAGGAGCGCGTAAGGAAAGCGTCGCACGAGGTAGAATTTGTTTGTGTAGGGGAGGAAAGTCGCCTGGGTCGGTCGCACCTTGCTGGTTTCTCGCCATTTGTCGTCACACGTTCCAAAACTGCCGTGCACCTGAAAACTTCTTTTCAAAACCTGCTCTCTCTGAGCGTGTTCTCGGGCAGGCAACTTGGGAAAGTGTCAACTTCGACATCTTTACACCCGATTATTCGCAGCTTAGTTCTCAAAATCCAAAACTACCACCACTAAACTTTCTTCGGTTCCACGTTCCCAACTTCTCCCAACTTCTCCCAACGCACCCCTCCTGGTGCACTGTATGGCGGGCTGCCCTGTCGCGTGCCGTGAGATTCTGGCGCCCTAAAGACTGACGAAGAAACTGTGTTCGAAAAGAATCTCTCGTTCAAAACCCTGACCAAGCCATGAACCATGTCACGACGACATGTCTACACCGCCCTGACAAACCAGCTATCGAGCGCCGCCGCCGCCCTTGCTTTCTCCCCAATCTCCAATTCTCTCCTCCCCTCTCCACTCATCTCTTCCTATCCACACCGCACCACGCTTTTATTCTGGACTGTGTCTGGACTTCTCACAACACCAGATTCAGGACACTTGAAACTGGACTGGATAAAAATTCCCAGAGCAGTTTTCAGGGCAGGAGCAACAGAAACGAAAGCTCTTGGGTTGCATCGTTCTTCCCATCGTCCACCACACCACACCCTCCTCCCCAACCTCGCTCCTCATCTGGCTGTTTTGCCGCTCTCCGTGTGCTGTGCTTGAAGCTGCACACGCACGCACCCATTCATGGTCCGTTCTTCCAACCTCCGATCCCAGCCAGTCTCAGTGCGGGGTCCCAATCTCATGACATCCTGAAAGCTCCATCTCTCAGTTGTACTGTGAGAGCAACCCTATGTTGCTTTGTTGCGTCGGTTCGAGTATCCATAAGAGCAAGGAACCCTAGAAGGGTCACGCTGCGTCATCTCATCAGTCCTCCATTGTCGGACGCTGCAAGAACGCGCGTTTATGAAACCCTACTAACGTTATATTACGGTCTTTCTTGTTGCCTTTTTTTTCGAAGCGATGAAGTATCCGTCACTGGTTGGTGCTGCTACCAGCACCAATTGGCAAAATAAGCGGGTGGAAATTCCTTAACTGCATATTCGACAGCATATTTGTTGGTCCCATCTGTTCGGAAAGCGGTTACTACGGCCTAACTCTCGAGGCTTCACTCTCGAGGCCCAACTCTCGTACCATTTACGCCTCTTAAGAGGTCCGTGTCCGTTCTCTTCCTCGGAAAACTCAATCCCAATAGCAGCCACCAGAGCGCTTTGATTAGCGAATTCCTCCGATTTAATCGATTTAAAACTTGAAATATAGTTCGCCGTCGCGTGGCGATGGGTCCTCGCACGACGACCGGTGCGATGTGCGGGCTCGGCGTTCGCATGAGTCCCAAAGCGACGATTTTCAGCACGAGCGAGGCGGCGTGCGACGCGTACGACGCGGGCGACGACGCCGGCGAGTGCACGTGGGCGTCGCTGCCGCCCGAGCTGCTGCGCGACGTGATCGCACGCGTGGAGGCGAGCGACAGCTCGTGGCCCGGCAGGCGCAGTCGCGTGCGCGGGTGTTTGCCGCTCTTGGCGGGAGCTCACACGGTACGTACTATTTGTAGCGAATCGGGACCTTATGTGTTGGATTCTCAAGCTCTGAAGAAAAGAAAGGAAAATAAGCCGTCGAGGCCGGGGGGAGCTGACTTGGTGCGCGTTGCGCATCAGATGCATTCCGGAAGATGCGTCTCGGGGATTTCGTCTAAGAAATTACCAGATTTTAGTTATGACGGGCATTTTCGGGATTTGCTAGGAACGAACCGAAAGTTTTGTTCTCTGCGCGCCTCCGCCTTCCGCTACCCACGCTCCACCCGCTGCGTCCGCTCGCCCCGCTTCGTTTCCCCGATCTCCGACTCCCCTCCCCCATGAACTGCGGCAGCCCGGGCCGCGCGATTGCTGCGTGGAGTGCTTCATTTGCCTCCCCCCATCTCCCCCCGCCTCCCCCCTCCTCCCCCCGCCTCCCCTCGCCTCCCCCCGCCTCCCCCCTCCTCCCCCCGCCTCCCCCCGCCTCCCCCCGCCTCTCCCGTCCTACCCCAGAGAGCTGCTGCAGTCCCCGGGTTCGTATGAGTCGTCTGGACAGATCACGTTTCCCGACGAGTTAAGAATGCCCGGGCCGCGCGACCGCTGCGTGGAGTGCTTCATTCGCCTCCCCCCGTCTCCTCCCCCCTCCACCATCGCCTTCCCCCAATCCCCGGTTCCCCATCTTCCCCCGTCCTACCCCAGAGAGCTGCTGCAGTCCCAAGGTTCGTACGAGTCGTCTGGACAGATCACGTTTCCCGACGAGTTAAGAATGCCCGGGCCGCGCGACCGCTGCGTGGAGTGCTTTATTCGCCGCTCGCGGAAGACGGGAACTTTCACGCTGTTCCTCGGCGTGCCGCCGAATTCGACGGAAAACGGCAAGTTCCTGCTCGCGGCGCGCAAGTGTGGCTGGCGGCCGTCAAGGTAAGCGGACAGCCGACTATCTTTGTTCACGTTCATGGGGGGAGGGAGGGCAAAGGAGAGGGGGGGGAGGGGGGGCCGGGGGGGGTTGTGGGGGGGCCGGAGGGAGGGAGGAGGGGGAGGTTTGGTTTGTGGCTGTGTGTTGCTGTTCTTTTTCTTTAACCCTCAACTGGAGTTCGTGTTTGTGCTTGTTGCCCTATTCTGCCCGTTTCACAAACCCCTGTTTGCACTGGTTACCCTACTTTGCCCTTTTCGATCCACTTGACGAACCCGCTGGTTTTGTCTCGCAAATTCGTTCTGGATACCCCATCTCTTTTGCTTCGCTTCAATTCGCAAAAGCCTTGTTTGTGCCTTGCAACTTCGATCCAGCATGTAACACGTGTTTTTCTGTTCATGGCCTGATCTTCTCGTTTCGCAAATTCGTGGTTCTGTTCGCGTCAGCATGGAGTACGTGGTTTCGCTGGATCCAAAAGACTTTTCGCGCGGCGGAAGTTCGTTCGTCGGCCGTCTGCGAGCGAATTTCCTGAGCACGCGATTCGCCGTCTTTGAATCGTCGCACGAGGTGAGCGTTGCAAATATCCCTCTTTGTAACAAAGTAAGCTTTCGGCGGTTCGTTCGCAGCTTTCGTAGCGCCAACACGCACAGGTGAGAATTTTAACGCGAATTGCATGGGCGAAAATGTGAGCACCTGGTAACGTAGTAACCAGACACCTCAGCTGAAGAGTGTCCCTTCTGTTTCTCGTCATCCGCTCGTTTGCAACGATCCGCCCGCCCCACCATGCAACCCCTTCCCCCCTCCCCGTGCCGCATTTCCCGCGCTTCCCTCCGCGCAGCCAGCGTTTTCTCTTGGCGCGGCGTCGTTATCGCACGGCGGAAGCAGCAGCAGCAGCCGCAAGGTGCATCCCCGCGGAGGCGGCGCTCGTTCCGCCAGCGGTTACCACCACTGTAACCACTGTAGCACTCGGTGTGGTAACCACCATTGTGGTTACAATTGTGGCAGCAGCAGCGCGGGCAGCAGCGGCGCCGGCACCCCTGTCGCGTGTAACGGTAACATGGGCAGCTTTAACAGTTATAACGGTTCCGGCTGTAGCGGCGCCAGCTCTAGCAGGGGTGGCGACGGGGGAGGGTTATTAGGCGCAGGTGTTACCAGCAGCAGCGGCAGCGGCAGTGGCGGTGGTTGTAGGGGTGATTGTAACGGTGCGAATGACGCTGACACTGCCACGTCAGCAGCGGTTTCGCATTCCCCATCCCGCTCCGCTTCCCTTTCCGCCGCGTCTTCCGCCTCCGCCGCTCCGTCCCCCTCCGCCTCCGCGCGCGCCCTTACCGCCTGCCTTTCCCGCTCCGCCAACAACCTCGAGGGCTTCCGCTCCCCGCGCCTCCCGTCCGCCTCCGCGCCCCCTTCCGCCGCGCCGTCCCCCTGCCCCGCCGTCTCCGACTTCGCCTCCCCCCAATTCAAACCCAGCTGCATCGGCAGCCCCTTCCCCGGAAGCTGCGCGCACAGCTGCGGGGGAGGTGCAGGCGGGGGAAGCAGCGGGGGGATCGGAGGGGGAAGCGGCGGGGGGAGCGGGGGAAGCGGCGGGAGTAGCGGTCCGGTGGTGTCTGTAGCCTACGCGCTAAACGTGCTGGGGGTGCGCGGACCTAGGCGCATTCTCTGTACCCTTCACCAGGTCCCCGCGGGCGCGGCGGTCACTGGCGGAGGCGGAAGCTGGGGGGGAGGCGCGGGGAGAGCCGCGGGGGGGAAGGCGGGGAGAGGAACGGGGGCGGAAGCGGGGGGGGGAAGGGGGGACGGGAGGTCGTTGGCAAGGGGGGCAAGTGGGGGGAGCGGGCGGGGATGGGGGGACGCTTCCGCGGTAGCGGGGGCAGCGGGGGGGGCAGCGGGGGGGGCAGCGGGGGGGGCAGCGGGGGAGGCAGCGGGGGAGGCAGCGGGGGAGGCAGCGGGGGAGGGGGCGAGAAGGGCAGCTGCAGCGGCTGCTGATATTGCTGGTACCGCCGCCGCTGCTTTAGGCTTAGATCCCGTTATAAGCACATCCGATACAGGCACGTTACGAAGCCCGCGTCCTGCCACCCTTCCTCCCGTTACAACCCCTGTTTCAACCCCTGTTAGAAGCTCCGTTTCAACTCCTCCCGTTACAGTTCCCCCTAGCACCCCTCCCCCTGCTACCCCTCCCCCCCCTTCTACCCCTTCTACTGCAACTGCTGCCGCTCTAGCCGCTGGTGCTGCTGCTGCTGCCGCCACCTCCCCCCTCCTCTCCTCCCTCTTCCATTCCAACCGCTATAGTCACACTCGCTACAGTAACCACCCGTGCGATCGCGATTTCAACAATCCGGAGGATAAAAAATCGGAGGAGCAAGCACCTGGCCAATCCCAGCCTCCCACGTGTGCCTCCTCTTTCATCCCTTCCCCGCTTCCGCGCCCCTCCTGGCCCTCATCCCCCGCTTCTTCCCCCTCCGCCGCCCCCCCTGCTGGCGCAACCTCCGCCCCGCCCCACTTCCCCGCGCCCTCCGCGCTACACTCCCCCGCTTCCCCCCCTGACGTGCTGATTGCCCCTACAGGTTCTTCCGCTTCCCCCTCCCCTTCCGCTTCCGCCTCATCCGCTTCCCCCTGCCCCGCTTCCGCCTTCCCCCCTTGCCCGGAGCTTCCCCCTTCCGCCCTGTCCTCCGCCTCCCCCGCCGCCCGTTGCGCGTACAGGCTTAGTGGGGGGAAGGGGGAGAATGGGGGGATTGTGAGTGAGTTTGAGTGGGGTGGGGGAGAGAGGGAGGAGGTGACTGTAGAAGAAGTGACTGAAGGGAGAGTGGGAGGGCGAGAGGGGGAGGGGAAGGGAGAGGAGAGTGGGAAGGTAGAGAGAGGGGAAGGGATGGGAGAGGAGCAGAGGAAGAACGAAACAGAGGAGAAGAGGGAGGAAACAGAGGAGAGGGGAGAGAGGGAGGAGGAGGGATTGCCTGTGAGACTCACAAGGAGTGAAGAACAGGAGGTCGGAGGCAGGAAGGAGGAAAGCGAAGCAGTAGGCAGAGCAGGGGAAGGAAGGAATGGGACAGTACTTGAGTGGACTGAAGCAATAGCAGGGGAAGCAGAAGAAGTGAGGGAAGCGAGGTCACCACCCATTATAAGCACAAGGGAACCTTTGGTCTCGTTTCCTGAGAGTGGGGAAGAGGTGAGCGCAAGAAACGGAGTGGTGGGGAGCGGTGGAAAGGAGATTGATGAGCAGCAAAGCGGTCTGGAGGAGAGAAGGCAGGAGGAGGGCGATGGAGAAGAGGGGAGTTGGGACGAGAGGAATCAGCAGGGGTGTAGTCAGGATGGGTTGAGAGGCAGTGAGTGTCAACAGCAGGACGGCAGTCAACGTTGGTTGCAAGGCGGAAGTTTCCAGGAAAGCAGCGGCGGCGAAGACTTGGAGATCTCCCCCTTTCCTGCACCTGCGGACCCTTTCCTTCCCCCCGCTGCTCTTGAGCTTCCCCCTGCCGCGCTGCCCCTGCCTAGATTGGAATCAGAAGCTACAGCAATAGCAGCAGCATCACCAGCAGCAGCATCACCAGCAGCAGCAGCAGCAGCAGCAAGAGAAAGCAGGGTAGCATGGTCTGAAGCAGCAGCAGCAGCAGCAGCAGCAGCAAGAGCAGTGGCTTCACCAGAAGCAGCAGCAGCAGGTGCCAGGGCTGCTGCGGCTGTCACTCCCCCATTCGCGTCTTCCTCTCTCCCTCTCCCCTCGGGCACCTCAACACCCCCATTCGCCTCCTCTCTCCCTGCTGCAGCTGCGACTCCCCCATTTGCTGCTCCTGCCGCTGCTCCTCCCCATCTTGCTGCTCCTTCCTCTTCTCCTGCTGCTGCTGCACCTCCTGCGTTCGATGCAGAGGCAGATGCGCAGGGTGGCAATGAGGGTGACTGTACGGAGTGTGACTGTGTGAGGTGCATCGGCCGAGCGCCTCTGGAGCCCATGGTGCTGCGGAACAAGCCACCCAGATGGCACGAGCAGCTGCAGGTGTGTATTGGGGTTCAAGGGGATGTGGGGGAGTATAAGGCATCTAAGCTACTTCTAATCGGCCGAGCGCCCCTAGAGCCCATGGTGTTGCGGAACAAGCCCCCCAGATGGCACGAGCAGCTGCAGGTGCGTGTGTGTGATGAGGGATGGGAAGCGGTGCACGGGAGTACAAGGTAGTTCAAGGGAGTATGAGGCAGAGCGCCTCTGGAGCCCATGGTGTTCTGGAACAAGCCCCCCAGATGGCACGAGCAACTGCAGGTGAGGGGATACAAGGGGATATGGAGGAGTGCAAGGGAGTACAAGGCAGTATAATGCAAGTGAGTATGAGGCACTATAGATTTGATTATCATGGGCCGAGCACCCTGACATCTCATGGTGTTGCGGAACAAGCCACCTAAAAGGCACGAGCAGCTGCATGTGCGTGCGTGTGTTCTGGGGAGTGGGAAGCGGTGCAAGGGAGTTTACAAGGGTAGGGATGAATGATGGGCAGAGCACCTTTGGAGACCATGGTGTTGTGATTAAAGCCCCACCTCGTTGGTCGATCGTCTCCAGAGCTCATTAGATTGCATTGGATTCCATTATTTTTGGTTATATTCCATTTAGCTTGGCTTCTACACTCCCTCTCACACTGTGATAGCTCTATTGAGGGTTCTGACTATCCCACTTTCGCTGAAGTTTTGAGCCTTTGGAGGAGCCAAGCTGCGTTGTTGCAGGCACAGCTCACGTTTCAATGGCCTTCTCAGCTTACTATCGACTGCCGAGGAGGTCATTGAAACATGAGCCTGCGTCTGTAACAACGCCACTCGGTTCATCTAGAAGCTCAAGCCTCAGCGAACGTGGGATAGTCGTCGCTCGCCATAAAGCTACCAGAGTGTGAGAGGGAGTGTAGAAGCCAAGGTAAATGGAAAATAATGGAGTGTATAACGGAATTTACTGGAATGCATTAAGCCAAGCGCTTCTAGAGCCCTCCCCTCACCTTCCCTCCCAACCCCCGCCCCTTCCCTTCCCGTCCACACCCTACCCATACCCTCCCCCCACCCGCTTCCAGTGCTGGTGCTTGAACTTCAGGGGACGAGTGACAGTTGCTCTTTCGAGGGAGGCAGGCCGGGGAACGACTCTGACAAAGCCCTTATGAATCCTCCCTTGCATCTCCTTCCCTGACCCTCCTATACATGCTTCCAGTGTTGGCGCCTGAATCTCCGAGGGCGAGTGACAGTGGCTTCAGTGAAGAATTTCCAGCTGATCGAGGGGGGCGGGCCAGGCAACGACTCGGACAAGCCCCTGCCCTACCCTTTCAATGTCCTTTCCCGTCCCCCATCCAATCCCCCCCTCCCGCTCCCTCACTCCCAGTGCTGGTGCCTCAACTTCCGTGGGCGGGTGACGGTCGCTTCGGTGAAGAACTTCCAGCTCATAGAGGGAGGTGGGCCGGGCAATGACTCGGAAAAGCCCCCTCCAATCCCCCCTTGCATTCCCCCTTGCCTCCCCTTGCCTGCCATTCCTCTTCCCCACTCCCAGTGCTGGTGCCTCAACTTCCGTGGGCGGGTGACGGTCGCTTCGGTGAAGAACTTCCAGCTCATAGAGGGAGGTGGGCCGGGCAACGACTCGGACAAGCCGGTGCTGCTGCAGTTTGGCAAGATTGGCAAGGATACCTTTACTATGGATTACAGATACCCACTCACGGCGTTTCAGGTGTGTGCTTGTATTTGAATGATGGTGTGTGCTTTTATTTGAATGATGGTGTGTGCTTGTATTTGAATGATGGTGTGTGCTTTTATTTGAAAGAAGGTGTGTGCTTTTATTTGAAAGAAGGTGTGTGCTTTTATTTGAAAGAAGGTGTGTGCTTGTATTTGAATGATGGTGTGTGCTTTTCTTTGAAAGAAGGTGTGTGCTTTCAGGTATTGCCTGTCTTGTGAGTCGATGCTGTTGCTGTCACAGTCGTGTGCAGGCATTCGCCATCTGCCTCCGCAGATTTGATACCAAAGTGGGGTTTCCAGTCAACTCAAAGTAACCTTTCTGTGCTTCTTTTGTGCTTGTGTGCATGTGTGCATGTGTGCCTGTGTGCTTGTGTGCATGTGTGCATGTGTGCCTGTGTGCTTGTGTGCCTGTGTGCTTGTATGTGCCCATATCCCTCGTGCAGGCGTTTGCCATTTGCCTGAGCAGCTTTGATACCAAAGTGGCGTGCGAGTGATTCCATCATTATTCTCATCTGATCGGCACCTTTTCACGCTGATCATTAGTCGAGTGAAAAAATTGCGTGCTAGCTAAACAGCGACAGACAACTTCTCGCGTTGCGTTCGAGATGGTGTGATGCTGGTGCGTTTTGAGTCGACTCAAAACACTGCTGGTGCGCGAGTAAGGGCTTCTCACGAGATAGGGACAACACAAGGGCAGGGCAGCAAACAATCCAAAAAGGAGTGCATGTTAACACATGGGAGACTGAAAGACGACGTGTGTGTTGTGCTAATACAGTGGGTGGTGGTGTGGTGGTGTAATCTTTCTGCTGTGTGGTGCTATGCTGCGGAGCGGATGGAAAGGTAAGTTTATTGTGGAGAACCTGGATTTTGTGTTACGGTATTTATGTCAGATGTGGGTTGGTTATTGAGATTTGGACAAAAGCGTTTAGGGATGGATGGACGGTCATGTTGCTGCCCTTGTTTGTTATTCATGTACTCTTTGTATTTTAAAACGAGATCGTGGCTTATGTTTGTATCAGAGTAGTTTTATGGCGGTTATTCAGAGCTTTTACGCAATCACCGTAGCCGAAGTGCATCTGCCCGTATCGGGTACAGCCAGATTCCCTGGGCTGTGGATGGATTTCGGTTCAGCTGGTTCTACAACGGTTCATTTAATAACTCGTCTGGTTGCGACGAGTCATGTGCTTCTAGACTAGTTCGTTGCTACGAGCTTCATTTCTAGACTGCCAGTGGTTGAATCCAACTTTCCTCCGCTCCCGCTGAATCCATGGCCACGTCAGCATCCGCGACGCCAGAGGCATGGCTGCAGAATCAGCTCCTAGCGATGCGCGACGCGCTGCCGTTCCTGGATGCTGACATGGTGTCAGGCCTAGTCAGCTACTGCCCTAATGCCTCCGATGCTGACGTGGCAGAGTATCTGTCGAATATTGTCGGCGAATCGGATCAGTCCATGGCCGTAGTTTCCGGATATCTGGAGCGAAGGCGTCAGATAAAGCAGGGCGGGGCGCCGTCTCAGCCGCCGCAAAATTCGGCGCAAAATCCGCCGCGAAACTCCCGAGGAAAGCAGCAGAAGCAGCAGCAAGCGCAGGATTACAGGCACACCTTATACAGTCACGAGAACCCAAATATTGAGGTCTACGTGAAGCCCAAGTTCGACGAAGCTTCCGGATCTGTCCCCGCGCCCTCGCGCAGGACCGGCACAGGGGGAGGTTTGGGGGAAGGGGGGAGCGCAGGGGGAGCGGAGGCTCCGGAAGGTGCGGCAGCGAGCGGTGCCGCTGGCGGAAAGGTTGGCGGAAGGACTGGCGGAGGGGTTGGCGGAGCGGCGGGAGGAAGCGCGGGCGGGGGAAAATCCGCGGGCGGAAGGAAGCGGAGGGGCGGGGTGGCGGTGGGGTTGGCGGATCTAGAGCAAGGGCGGGTGTTTAAGCAAGGCGCGCCGTGCGACTGCCAGGCCACGACCCATCACTTAGTTAACAACTGCTTAGGGTGTGGGAAGATTGTGTGCGAGCAGGAGGGCGAAGGACCGTGTAAGTTCTGCGGCGTTCTGGTGCTTAGAGGGTCTGATAGTATGGGGGATGCGGCGCCGGGGGTGGGAATTGAGGGGGAATGGGAGGAATGGGAGGAGGTGGGGGGAGGAGGGCGAGGAGGGGGAGGGGGAGTGGGAGGGACAGCAGCAGGGGCGGCGGGGGGGTTGACGGAAGCTGAAGCGAAGGCTCTTGCGTTTAGGGATAGGCTTGTGGAGTATAATCGCACATCGGCCCAACGGACGGTTGTGATCGACGATCAGAGCGACTACTTCAAATCCAACGGTGCGGATGGCGACGGGGACGCTTGGCTGACGAATGAGGAGAGGGAGATTTTGAGGAGGAGAGAGGAGGAGAGGGAGAGGGAGAGGGAGGAGGAGGAGAGGAGGAGGAGGGTTGTTGTTACGCTGGACCTGATTGGTCGACGGGTTCTTGTGGCGGATAGCCTTGGGGTTGACGTGGCAGGTGGTGGAGATGACGTGGCAGGGTCTGAGGGAGTCAAACCAGGACAGGAAGGTTCTAAGAAGCAGACAAAGGGAGCAAGTGGGGGAGTGAACGGGAAACCAGGGGGAGGTAGAACTGGTGTAGGCAGTATCTTCCTAATGGGAGGACAAGGAGGGCAAGGGGACAAGGGGCCAGGGGAGAGGGAACAGATCCCAACAGTAAAGCAGGAAGTGATTTCAGGGATAAAAGTGCTTATAAAGGGGGAAGGGGAAGGGGAAGGGGGAGAGGGTGGTGTAGGAGGAGGGGGAACTGGAAGAGGAGGTCCGGCAGTGGGTGGTTCGGGCCGAACCCGGCTCATGCCAAGCCCGAACCTGCCAATTGCAGCTCCGGTGTTTGTTAAACCGAGCAGTAATAGTAGTAGCGGTGGCGCTGCTGCTGGTGGTGGTGGTGCTATTGTAAACGAGGTTACTGGGAAGGGCAAGAAAGGGGGCAAGGGGAAGAAGGGGCAGCAGGAGCAGGAGAGTGACAGAAGGAGAGGTGCTTATAAGGAGGGCATGGCAAGGCTTCAGCATGATTCCCCTTTGATGGAAGCAATGAGAGAGATAGAGGAGGAGGTGGGGGGAAGGAGTGGGTGGGGCGGGAACAGAAGGATTGACAAGGAGAGGGGTTCGAGAGGAGGTGGGGTGAGGAATCAAGGAGTGATTGGAGGAGGGGCGGCAGGAGGGGGTTGGATCCCCGGGAGAATAGAGATAGGGACGGCCCGTGTGGCATCCCCGCTGACCTGGCGGGGCTTGCTGACCTGGCAGACGATGAGGCTGACGTGGATGGGAGGTTTGACATCTGTGTGCCAAGTCACAGCATGGATCAGCGGGGAGGAAGGGATGTGGGTGGAGGAGGGTTGCTGAGAGGAGTGGGGGGAATGGGAGGAGGGAGGGGGGTGGAAGCTGGGATTGATGGAGGGAGAGGGGGAGTGTTGCAGGATGGGGTGGTGCTGCTGAAGGGATGGCTCACAAGGGAGCAGCAGGTAATGTAACCATGTCGCAAATTAGTTTCGTTTATGGGAGGAATGTAGTGGTTGAATTACGAGTTTCATTTATCCACGTGTCATTCTTCTTTTGTTTCCTGCTGCCTGTCTTGACTTGTTCACCTTTACCTCTTGATTTTCTCACCTTTTCTTGAGTGTACTTACCCTTCTTGCAGATTGAGATTGTGAAGGAGTGCCGTCGCCTTGGCCTGGGGACGGGAGGATTTTACCGCCCGAAATTTCTCAACGGCGGGCAGATGAAACTTCACATGATGTGTCTTGGGCAGCAGCACTGGGAGCCAAATCTCCGAACCTACCAGCCACGCCGAACCTATGTAGACGATGCCAAACCTCCCCCTCTTCCCCCTTCCATTTCTTCCCTCGCCATTCAAGCCGTTTCTGCTGCCCAAACTGCTGCCCGAGCCGCCTCGGGCAGTGGCAACAAAAACATCCTCCCAGACATGACCCCCTCGGTTTGCATCGCAAACTTTTACTCTCCCCGGCGCGGATCCCTCGGCATGCATCAGGACAAGGACGAGCCGCCCGCGTCGATCCGCCGGGGGGCGCCAGTCGTCTCATTCTCCGTGGGAGATTCGGCAGATTTCCTATTCGGGTGGCAAAGAGACCCGGAGAAAGCAGCGAGGGTGGTGTTAGAATCAGGGGATGTGGTGGTGTTTGGGGGGGCGTCTCGATTGATGTTCCATGGTGTGGCGTGTGTGCATGGAGGCACGGCGCCTGATTGGTTGATTCAGGAAACCGGGCTGCGGCCGGGCAGGCTCAATCTTACGGTCAGGGAGCTGTAAAATCTCCTGGGGGGAGCTGTAAAATCTCCTGAGGGGAGCTGTGAAATCCTTTGGGGGGAGCTGTGAAATGGGGAACATGAAATGGCCGGCCTGGAGTCTTGAAGTGGGGTGAAGTTAGGCCAGTATTCCACTTCCGTGTCAACTCCCTGGTAGTGGCTATTACCGGTAGCTGGTCCATTTAAAAGCAGGCCACAGTAACTAGTTACAATACATCAAACAATTGGCTCGCTCTTATCGTTTATTGCATCCAGTAGTACAGTACAGTACAGCACAACCCTGGAGGGTAACAATGCAGGCTAGTCCCTTCCCCCCTGCTCTGGTGTTTGGAACAGAAGCAAAGAACAGGTGCTGCCTGTAGCCCCATCTCAGCTACTGCTGCTGCTGCTACAGCTGTCAAATTGACTGCTCCCACAACGGCAGGACACTACACCTGCTGCACCTCTTATTGTGCGACTCCTATCACAGCCGCCACAGCTGTTGCAGAAGCTACTCAAACAGTGTGATCTGACCACCAGAGATTCTTCGGAATACTGCAGCAGTTATCACAGCCACAGCTGCCACGGCTGCTACAATACAACTGCTTCAATTCTGCTGCCTCTGCTCATACCTTCCCAGTGCCGATCCCTGAACGAGAGAAACAGCCTTCTTCATTCCCGCGGTAGAATCACTACTCCTGTACAGCAGGCTGCAGGCGACCTTTACCTTGGTATTGCCGAGCACCCAGCCAGCTCCAGTACACCGGACGTAAAACACACACTTGCACGCCTTCCCACCCCAATGTAGGTACGCTATATAGTACACCTCAAAACTCATCATCTCATCCAACAATCACTGTACCATATTTCGAATTTCCGCATATTTCTGGCCCCTCAACCCGCCGCCGTGGCAATCACACCTCCTGTCGGGCACCCGCCTGGTTCTCTCCCACTCCACGCGCCACGCGACAAGCTCCACCTCGGGATCGCCGAGCACCCAGCTCCAGTACAGCAGCGCGTGAAACACGTCTTTGCGCGCCAACGCCTTGGGCTTGCCGTTCCGCCCAAGCTCCTGCGCGCTCCCCGTGCGCGTGTTGCCTGTCGCGTTAAGCACCCCGCGCTCATCCACCCGCTTCACCAGCCAACCCACGCCGCGCCGTCCGGCCTCCAGCAGACGCGATCTAAACTCCACTGATTCGGACCCATTTTGTATGTGCGGCGCGACGTAGAGATAATACCGAGCCGCGTAAACCAACCCTATGCCTTGATAGCTGCAGTCGTACCCTTGCCTTTCGTAGTTGAAACCCGCTGGATCCTGCATCTCCAGCCCGCTTCGTATGTATTCGGTCGATTTCAAAATTAGGGTTTGGTTTTCCGTTAGTAGCCCAGCCATGCCTAGGGCTGTGCCTGTTAAGTACCGTCTGTGCGCGTGCACCGCGTCGTTTCCCCATCCAGTGCGCTCGATATGAGGTCGGACAAACCACGCCGCCATGGATGCGACGTGCTTCTCCGCTTTCCGCAACCACCGCTGGAAGACAGGATGCGCCGCCCAACGCGAGGATTTTAGCAGCAGGGCTGCCCGCGCGGCGGACTCCATGAAAAAACCCGCGCTGTGGTATACGTCCGGGCAGTCGAAAGACCCATCTTCGCGCTGCTGGTCGAACCCCCAGTCGTATATTCTCATTCCGATTCGGGCAGCTTCAGAATTGTTGAACGCCAAACCCGCTTGAATAAACAGAAAGCCATAAAACTGCTCCTCAATGTACCACTTCCCCGAGCCAGTAGCGTCATATTTTTGGTTGTGTCGCGAATACGCGCCGTTTTCGTTCGCGTGACCACCCAAATCCGCGATACTGCGGACCGATCGGTGCTGATCCAGAGCCGTGCAGATCGCGAAAGCGTTATCCAGGCGAAAATCGCCAGGGCAATCAGTGTTCGCCGGCCATTCGCCGTGACTCACCGATCGAAATCGCTCATCAATCTGAGTCAAATAATCCCGACCGGAAAACTTCGTATTGCGTAACGAGATGACAGGAACTGCAGCCAAGCTCCTTCTGACGAGAATCGAGGTGACGGCTTCGCGGGTGGACGGCGAACCGACGGAGTCCCAGATACCGTGCGCAATGAAGCCGATCGCCCCGAAGAAATTCGCGAACAAAAATATCAGGATGGGGATTCGACGAGGCTGGACAAATAGAAAACTGTTGGTTCTGGAAACCTTCGGAGGGTAAGAAAATAGTTTCTCATCGTAACGAGTCGGAGACTTGAGATCGGTAGGAGATATCAGCTCATTTTGAAATTTGAGACGCCTCGTTTGCTGATTGAAGTCACGAGGGTCGGCGGACGCGGATGTTTCGTCCTGGGAACGAACAGAACATGGCGGCGCGCTCGTCGGACGGCCTGGTGTGGAGACTGGCGGTGCCGGTCTGGCGCTTTGTGCTAGGAGAGCGAGGTAGGCGGCGCGAGTTGACAGCTGTGCTCCGCCATTCGGCGACATGGCGGTACCAACTCGGTATGCAACTTTCTCACCTCAGGATGACACGGAAAAATGTGAGTGGAAAAGGTGAGCGAAGCGTGCGTTTTTTATCGTTGATGGTGTTGGAGGTCTGATCAGGGTGTTTGCATTGTGTGTCTACGTGGAGGAGAGACGAACAGTAGTGGTTGAATGCCTGCCCCATTGTCACTTCACTCCAGCAGAAGGCTGACTGTCAAAAAGGGTACAGACTCCATCGAACAGGAAGAGAGGAGATGGAAAAGCAGAGATACCAAGCAAGGTTGGTCCGCGTCCCAACCCTAAGGGCGGGTCCAGAAAATACGTAATCGTGGCTATACCGTGCCCAACCACTCTAGCGCTAAAACAGACCGCTTTAGATCGTACCAAGCCTTTTTCAGCCGCAATCGGACGTATTCTCTGGACACGCCCTAAGGCCCAGCCTTTTGGCCCCGAACCGAAACCAAAGCTGTTTCGTTGGTTCGAAAGAGTTTCGTCTGGTCGTGCGCTGCTCTACACATGCCGTCCACAAGTGTGCACACAACCCTGGTGAGGTGACCGAGGAGGACGGTGCACCTCGAATTGTTACGGAGTTAAAAATGGTGTTGGGAATTTAAATGCTTTTAGAGAAATTCAGTGCGGTGAAATCAGTGAACCTGCGATCGATCCTGCAAAATTTCTAGAGGTGCCGTGTCCTGGGTGCGGTGCGGTGCACTCACAAAAAACACCTGGGTTCTAACCTGACAAGACTGAAAGTTGGACTTTGACCAACTTGACCACGTCGTGACTCGCTAGTTGCCAGACTCCCTGGTTGATGCCAGAATCTGCGACAAATTTGCGTTATTTGCGAAAATCAGTGTCGATTTCCGTGGTTCTGACACCTGTGCAGAACGAGGGAATGTGGTGAACCATGTAACAGCACAACAAATTCTTGATCGGATTCCGGCCAGCTCACGTCACGACCACCCCAACTCGGATCGCTGGTGTTGCACCTGCCCTGTCGTTTTGTTACGGGGGCTCGGATCCCATGTCCTGAAACATTCTTTTAGAGTCACCCTGCACCATTTCGGGCTCCATCAGATAGACGCCCACAAGATTGGGGATATGAATGATGCCCTACAAGAAAAATGAAAGAAGCACACACACTCACACGCATGCACGCACGCACGCACGCACGCACGCACGCACGCACACCAGGGCTGTAGAAGCAAGGCCATTTGGCCTTAATGCCCTGAACATTCCGGTACTTTCAGAACAGCTCGACTGTTTCAAGTGCTGGATTCGCATGGCACCCGTGAAGGTTAAGGGCTCGAACTGGGCCCTCCCCTAAGGACGTGGGCCCAATCGACTTTGATCGGCGCTATCAGAGGCGGTCAAAAACTTCGAGGAAGGCGGGAAGCAGATTTCAAGCATTCAGCTTGTTCAATCATTCTGTATTCTCAACTTTGCTAGTGGAAACTCTTGCCAATTTCTCCCGTGAATGTGCAAGCACTAAGCAACCAAGCAAAGCTACGATCACTCCTAGTAGTTCGTGCCAACCCTCATAGACTAGCTCACTACCGTTGTAGAGTGAATCTCCGCATGGTGCGGTGAGCGTGGATCGAACACGCGACCTTCAGATAGGAGCCGACTTTTGCACCTACTAAGTCGTTCGTAGGCCGGTGGCAGCGTTAGTCGCCATGGTCGACCACGTCGTTGATGCGGGCGTAGCAGACACCTTGGAGACACGCTTGGCTGATGGGAGGAGACGCCACGCGGATGGCGAGTACGGGACGATCCCCTTGACGATCGTCGAGTTGGGCATCCGGGCGCAGTGGGCGACGGAACACCCTTCCCGTCCTGCATCTCCTCGACCGGTGCGAAACGAAGGAGGCGTCGATGACGAGGTCGACGGTGGTGCTCGAGTCAGCGGCAGCGAAGGCACGAGGCAGAGAGGGGTGATCAAGGTCGACGGTGGCGTCGACGGGATACAAGCGCGAGTGCAGCGGTCGACGGCGGCTGCAGGCATCTCGCGTGTCGACGTCGATGCTTGACGTCGCTCTCCTCTACGAAGCGGTGGAGGTCTCCCAGCGACAACGCACGTGACGACGGGTGGGATTGCACCAGTGTATGGCTACTTCAAGTTCTCGCCGGACCGAATCACCGTCGCCCCGCTGTAAGATCGACGGGACCTCATCACCTGGAGGGAGTCGATCGAACCTCAGCTGGAGGTCGCCGGGCTGAAGGGCTTCGCCGACGGCACCGTGCCGTTTCCGCCCGAGGAGGACGTCGAGCTGCGCGGAGAATTTCGTGCTGCTCACCTGCTCACTTTCATGGTCATCTCGAGGTGCTGCTCGCCGGTGGTGCAGCTAGCGCTCAGGAGCTGTCGAGAACGACTTGATGCTGGTCACCAGGCGTGGCGCTTCATCCTGTCGACGTACCAGGTGAAGGACGACCTGTACATCGGACAGTTGGAGGAGAAGATGACTCACCTTCGGATGGGCGAGCAGGAGTCGGCGACGGACTACTGCAACCGTGCTCGACGGATCCTGGCG